AGTCTGGCGTCTGCATCCTGTATGTGGTTGCAGCACTCCAGATGTAATTAACCTGGGTGGTGACGTGCCCTTGAGAAGACTGTCAAAAATTCCCTCCCCAAAGGCTGTGGAGCCCTCCTTGGGGAAGCAGAATGGAAGGAAAAGCCCAGCACTTCCTTCTCTGGGCTGCACGGGCCAGAGACAAGGACTTTAACCTGATCTAAGCACCCAAACACCTGCTGTCAGGCAAGGGCAAGCATACAATGAATGTTTGTTTGCTCAGTTGATGTCTAGAAAAAGCCCTAAACTGAGAATGAGGTTCCACAGTTCCAGCCTGGCCTGTGCCTGGTCTATGACATCCAGCACAGCTAACTTCTCAGGGCTACCGTTACCTTATCTCTAAAGGCAGTAGATGAATGTCCGCTAAGAAGAAACAGTCAAGTAATCAGATGACGTATTGTACTGGGCAAATCTGCTGCAAAAGACCTCTTTAAAGTGTTAAAGAACAAAGATGTCACTTTGAAGAATAAAGTGAGCCTGAGCCAAGCCATGGTATTTTCGATGGCCTCATATGCATGTGACAGCTGAACAATGAATAAGGAAGACCGCAGAAGAACTGACACATTTGAATGGTGTTGTTGAGCTGCTAGAAGAATGAACAAATCTGTCTTGGAGGAAGTACAGCTGGCATGCTCCTTAGAAGCGAGAGTGGCCAGACTTTGTCTCTCCTAATTTGGACTTGTTATCAGGAGGAAGCAATCCCTGGAGAAGGATATCATGCCTGGTAAAGTGGGGGGTCAGTGAAAAAGGGGAGATTCTCAGTGGGATGGAGGGATACAGTGGCTGCAACGATGGGCCCAAGCAGGGCAGTGACTGGGAGGACGCTGCAGGACCAGGCAATGTTCCCTTCTATTGTGCGCAGAGTCACAATGAGTTGGAACCTACTCAATGGCAGCTAACAATAACACAACAAAAAATCTGGGTGGCACAGTGGTTAAGCGCTCAACTGCTAACCGCACTGAACTTACCAACCACTCTAGAGGAGAAAAGACCAGGCAAATTATTGTTTCTGTAAAGATTTTAGCCTAGGAAATCCTATGGAGCAGTTCTACTCTGTCATAGAGGGTTACTATGACTGAGAATCAGCTGCACTGCAGACAATAACAAACAAAAGTCTCTCCTCAATTTCACTATTTAAAAAAAAAAAAAAACCAAACTCACTGCCATGGAGCCGTTTCAGACTCATACCGACCCCCATTGGGTTTCTGAGGCTGTAAATCTTTATGGAAGTAGATGACCCAGTCTTCCTTCCACAGAGCGAATGGTGCGTTTGAACTGCTGACCTTCTGCTTAGCAGTCAAGTGCCTTATCCACTATGCCACCAGAGCTCCTCAATTTCACTACAGGGGTTAAGAAAAAAAAATGAGTGAGATTCTCTGGAAATGTGTTAATAACACCACTACCACATTCAGAGGGCCCCAGAGAATATGAGAAGGAGAATTAAGAGTTACAGAATGTCAAGAATATGTCTTAGATAGAGCCCTTGTCCTTGAGGGACCCAGAGTCCAGGACAATCTACAAAGATGCCGTAGAATCCTAATGGACTTAAGTTGAGGCAAAAGATAACATTCACACAATGTGGATCCTGTTGTAAACACTGTTGTTTTATGCCTTATCTTACAGTCAACTCTCAGCTAAATATTCCAAGACATAAAGAGAGGGAGGTGAAGGAAGGGAAAGAAAAGAGAGAGTTACGGGTCAGGATTCCTTGGCTGCAAGCAACAGACAGCCTTGGTTAACTTCACTGGGAGGCTAAGGACCAGCTCAAAGAATAGAAAAGTCAGGACTCAGAACAGGGTCAGGACAATGCTGGGAGGCCAACTCTGGGAAGTGCTTAGTGGCAGGAACTAAGGGACAGTCTCTCATGAAAGACACCACTGTGGTAAATGAGTTCTTAGGTGGTGTAAATGCTAACTGAGAGGTTGCAGGTTCAAGTCTACCCAGAGTGCCCTGGAGGAAAGACCTGGTGACCCACTTGTGAAAAATCAGCCACTGGAAATGCTACAGAGCACAGTTCTATTCTGACCCACGAAGTCCCCTTGGGTCAGAGTTGACTTGGCAGCAATTGGCACCAGACAAAGAGTGAACTTGAATGTACACTATGGAATTTAGTTATAATAATGTAGTAATGTTAGCCACTCCTCGGAAGGAAAGGTTGGGCAATCCTACTTCAGTAGTGATACTGCCTCGGAAACCCAAGGAGGGGTCGCTATGAGTCGGGCCGACTCGACGGCACATAACAACAACAACAACAATGTTAGTTCATCAGTTATAACAAATGCACCACAAATGCAAGATGTTAATAATAAGGCAAGCTGTGAGTGATGCAGAGAAAGGGTATATGGGGATTCTGTACTATCTGTCCTGGTAACTACAAACCTAAAACTTTCTAAAAAGTAGTCTTTTAATTAACAAACAACAACAACAAAAGTGTAACTGGAGAGTTGGTTGTGGAGAGGAAAGGGTGCTGGTGCTCAGAAATGAGGTAAACTGAGTGTGATAGTTTCAGCTTACTAACATTATCTCAAGAGCATGGGCTTTGGAATCAGAATTCCCAACTAACCTAACAAGGCTTTGACAAAGTTATCAGTCAGTCTCAGTTTCTCCATATGTAAAATGAGGATGGGTATGTTTCATGAGGATTAAATGAGATCATTCATATTAAATGTACAGCACGATGAGGATGAGAAGGATAACAACGATACTAATTCTCCTTTGGTCCAGGGAGGTGGGGGTTGGGGAAGCAGGTGGGTGTAAATTACAGAGAGATTAATACTAAGAATGGATGCCTTGGAGGGCTGTAGAATCTTATCTGAGGTACTTTGTTGTTGTTGAGAATATACACAACAAAACATACACCAATTCAACCATTTCTATATGTGCAATACAGTGACACAGGTTACATTCTTTGAGTCGTGCAACCATTCTAGTTCAGGTACTTTTTATTAAGAGCTACCATATCAGACTGGCTGCGTGGAGTGTCTTTTGGTGACAGCTCTGACTGGGAGACTCTAGTTTTGGAACTCGAAGACTCAAGCTTTCATGATCAGGAGCCTGAGAACTACAACTCCCATAGAGTACCACTGCCTCAGCCCCGACGTGGCGGCGTTCCTAGCTCCCACAAGGCTCCTAATCTAAACTACAAATCCCAGGAGAGATTGCGAAACCTCTTTCCGTAGCGTAACTCGGCCGCGTTGTCCCCTGGGAAGTGTAGTTCAGTGGTAATTTAATGGCCCCTGACCCGGGCGCTGCCATAAGGCGGGAGAACCAGGCACCGCTCAAATACCTGCACCTAACTGCCCAACCGAAGAGTAATCTCGGTCGGGAGGGCGTTGGAGACGTGCTTGGGTTCGGGGTCCGCCGCCAATGCGGAGAGCATTTTAGGCCTCACCGGGTGAGAAGGTAGACCTGGAGGAAGGTGGCGGAGGCGGACGAGTCCAAATGCCTACCTGGAGGAGGAAAGGGTGAATCCAAGTGGAGATAATAGGGGTGGGAGTGGGGCGTGGCGACCTTATTGCTGGGCGGGGGTGAGGCGCGTCCCCGAAATTGCGTGGACTGGAGGGCGCAGCAAAGGGAGGAAGAGGGCCGTCCTTTAGGGTTTGGGATTAATCACTGGAACTACCTCCCCGGGTTAATGAAGGCTGTTAACTCACCAGGCCTTGGACCAAGATTGTCCTGGTTGGAAAGTTAGGCAGGAGTGTGCTACCCAGGAGATTGAGGAATTCGGTCTGCCCCCAGAACAAAGTGTTTCCCTAAACCTTCCTAAGTGTTCATGGTTGGAGAAGGTGGAAGGTCTCTGGGAATAGATGATGTTTGGGGCCCTGACTAACGAGAGCCCCAAAAGGGAAGGAAACCTTTGAATCCCTTCTCTCAGAGGCTTAAACAGTGCTACTGTGTACTGCCTACATCATCATTACAGAATGTTACAGAGGATGGGGAGTATTTAGTCTGAACCAAGTCAGAGAAATTAGTGTCCAGCTCTCTGGTTCTACAAAAATTGTGAAAGTGGTCAGTTCATGGGAAAAGTCTAGGATATAAACTAATTTAAAAGGAAAAATTAGGGTACAATGCATAGGATGATCTATTTTGTACTCTATCTCCTAAATCTGTATATTTATGGCATATATTTATGAGTATGGATAGAAAAATATCCGAACGATTCTGTACTCTATGAAAGGTAGTTACTGTTTGGTGGTGGTCATTTCAGGTTACTTTTACTCTTTACAACTTTATGGAGTGGCTGGATTTGGTGTAATGAGCATGTGTTAATTTTTTTCTTCTTTTTCCCAGAGTCCCAGTGTTGCTCCAACGCGGTGTGGTGCGTTGGTGGTGCGTTTTGGAAGACAGGCCCTGAGGCAGCGTTTGTGGCTTGCCCCGGGCCACCTGCGGATTGATCTTGGTGTCCTGAAGAGAGGCTTGAATGGGCAGGGGTGAATTTGATGTGTTTTGCATGTGAGGCTAATGCTTTTTTCCTCCTTCTTGGTTGGAAACAGGCTGCTTTAGCAAGTATCATTCCGTGGTATGTGGTTGTTTTGATCTGTTTAGTCTTTCGTTATCCTTTCCAGTTTGAAATGTTGCTTTCTCATTAGTGAACGGATTTTCATTAGTGAACGGATTTGGGCTGCATTGCACAATTTGTTGGTGACTAAAAATAAGTCATCTTTGCTGGGGGATGGGAGGGAGAAAAATATTGCAGCTTTAGATTTGATCCAACCTTGTTTTTCTTTTGTAAAAAAAAGTCATTAACCTATGTTCCCTATCCCTTTATGTGTTTGTGAGTTTATAAAGGAAACTTTCACATCGTCTTTGCTTGTGCACTTCCTAGGAGCCAAGCTCTTTAGAATCAAGGTAGCAGTATGGCAGATAACTACATTTAACTTTTTTTGAGTGTTTACTTTTCCTTCCACAGCTTTTTCCAGATTTCCAACTGAACCTCGGCATTCCTGCAGAAGCCTGTTAAAATGTCCTTGCACCTTACAGAGGAGCAGAGGAGAAAGATTGAAGAGAATCGGCAAAAGGCCCTGGCTCGTAGAGCCGAGAGATTATTAGCAGAACAGCATCAAAGCACAGCCAGCGTTTTCCAGGCCACACAGGGCCCTTCCCAAAATCCCCTGAGGGATTCTTCTAAGCCAGTTACCCATGATGTCTTTTTCAAGCAAAAGAATCCCACCAGTTCATCAAATGGTGACCAGAGACTTCATAATTCCCACAAATTTCATCTCAGCACACCAGAGCCAGCAGAAAGGACAGGGAGGAGTCAAGAAGAGAAGCCCACAGCCTGCCCAAGGCACAGGCCACCAGGTCAAACAACTCTCACCGGGGTCTCCTCTCTGGTAGCACAAAGTTCTCCAAAGGTCCCCGGTCAACAGCAGTTGGGTTATGTGTTAGGTCAAGGTCATGTTCAGGCTTCACACAAGACCAAATCAACACCTTCTGCTAATACAACTCGTGAGCTTCCGGCTAAACCATTGAGTTCCTGGGAGACACCAGCTGCTTCTGGGCAGCCCCCTGGGGATCCTGAATTACTGACTGAGAGAGTGAGACCCTCCACCTCAGGGCAGACCATTTCCCATGTCCATTATGGCTCAGGGAGTGTGACCTCCAGGACAGACGGAAGGCTCCAACAGAATCTGGGACCTTCACCTAAAAAAGAAGCAAGCTCCCAAAAGGGCTTGTGCATTCGGGATGGAGATCGCTTCCAGGTGAAGATTGGGTACAACGTAGAGCTGCTTGCTGTGTTCAAGAGTTTGCCCAGCAGAAGTTATGGTAAGGAGCCATTTGTCTTGTTCAAGTGTTTTTTTCCTATTTCTGCAGCATCTGTTAATCTAAGTTTATCATAAGTTTAAAGAGAGACATTGGTACATTCCATCCAGTTGTTTGAAAATTTTCATTTTGAGCTTGTGTTTCCCTTTATAGTAGACATTCCTTCAAACGACTGCAGAATTTGGGGCTGCCACATGGCCACACAGAGAACAGATGAATATCATTGTTAGGTGCTTTGTATGTATTAATGTCACTTAAGCTCACAACTATTTTTTGAGATGTTATTTCCATTTTAAAGCTGATGGAACTAGCACAGCAATGTTAAGTAATGGCCAGGGTATCTGGCCTTGAAAGGTAGAGCTGGGATGAGGCTACCCCAGTGCTTACGCTCCTTCTCATTCCATTTAGCTTAACTCCACTGGAATTCCAAGAACTTGGATTGTAGTCCTAACTTTGCTAAAACCACTCAGCCTCTTAGGTAAGGCCATAGCTTCCATGGTCTGAGTTGAATTCATTTTATCGAAAAAAAAATATTATCTATATTTACTATAAAAGGAACCCTGGTGGCGCTGTGCCTGACTGCTAACCAGAAGGTTGTCAATTCAAACCCACCAACCACTCCTCAGGGGAAAGATGCAACAATTTGGTTCCATAAAGATTTACAGTCTTGAAACCCTATGGGGCAGTTATGCTCTGTTCTGTAGGGTGCTGTGACTTAGAATCGACTCAGTGACAGTGAGTTTGGGTTTATCTATAGTCTACAGGGATTTTATGGTGGTGGTATGGTTAAAGCATTGGGCTACTGACCAGAGGTCAGCGGTTTGGTGTTTGAGTTTGACCAGGATTGCATTAGGTGCTTGTAGGTCAGCTGTTTTGGTGCTGTAGACTTAGCATTCATTCATTCATTCATTTATGCATGTGTGCTTACAGAAGACTAGCTTTGAGTGCCTCATTGTGGGCATACTAAGTACCTTTTTTTTATTTTAGATCCAGCCACCAAGACGTGGAGCTTCAGCATGACTGACTATAGTGCGCTGAGTAAGTGTATGCACTGACATCTTCATGGAGGGAGAAGCTGGGATTGCAGAGTTTCTCCAGAGTAGGGGACATGCTCTAACTTGTGGTTTTGTTGGTGACAAAAGCTTTCCGGGCACCATCCTCCTGCTCATCTTTCTTCTCATTGAAAGTCATTGGTCATGTTAACAGAAGCTAGCACTCAATGGTGCCTGCTGTGTCAGACTGTCCTGAGCCCCTTCATGAAGACTAACTCTGTTATCCTTATAACAACTATTTTGCAGATAGGGAAACTAAGACCTAGAGAGGATGAGTAACACAAGGTCACAAAGCCAGTAAGTCACACAATTGAGATTCAAGTCCCAAGTGGTCTAATTGCAGAGTGTATGTCCCCAGCCACTCAACTGTACTGGTGCCAACAGGGACCTGTTCCAGCCCTGGTTCGGGAAGATTAACAGTTCAAAGAGGGACAAGATAAAGTTGCCTGCTCAGGTCACTGCTTTGCAGATTTGAGACCCTGACTTAAAATTCTCTAGACTTGGGTGTGTCCCCAGCACAGTTTCTGGAGGTGATGGGCGGCTGTCTGCTGTCCTATTTCTCTCCTTGTCCTCCACTTCTTGAAACATATGTCATGAAGGGGTGTCTGTTTCTTTGGCAGGTAGCTGCAGGTGATCTTTTTGGGGTCTGGTGTTTACTGACTTTTTATCCGTTCATTGGTGTGGGGAGGAGAGCCGTGCTCTGGGTTAGGATGGTAGCTTCTAACACCTGCTTTCTCACTGATGCTCATTGGAAACCAGTGGTTTCCACGGTCACAGTTTTGTTCTGTCATCTTTTTTTACTCTTGTTCCCTGACCACGACGCATGGCGACTTGATGATTTCTGGTTTATTTCAGTTTATTTATTTCAGTTTTCTTTGTGGTGTGGTCATTTTCTGTCACGGCTGTATAGATTTTTGAAAACAATGCTTATTTGGCACAAAATTCTCTAGATAGCTCTTAGATGAATGTTATGGATTAGTAGTTGGTCCTTTGGCTCCTCTCTATATGCACCAAGGAGCCCTGGTGGCACAGTGGTAGGTGCACAGCTACTAAGTGAAAGTCTGGCCGTTCAAATCCACCAACTACTCCATGAGAGGAAGATGTGGCAGTCTGTTCCCATAAAGATTATAGCCTTGGAAACACTATGGGGAAGTTCTATTCTATCCTGTAGGTTCCCTGTCAGTCAGAATGGACTTGATGGTTATTTTATATGTGTGTGTGTGTGTGTGTATTTATATATATATATATTACTCCTCACCAGTGTCTTTTTTTTAAATGTAGTTTATTGAAATATAATTTATGTACAGTGAAATACATAAAACTGTAAAAATACATAAAAGTGACATAGGTCAATGCATTTTTTTTTTTTTTTTTGCGGTGTTCCCTCCCCTCCCACCCCTGGCAACTAACAAAGAAAGTTTCCCTCCATATATAAACCTTTCCTTGACCCTCCACAACAACGAATTAATATTATACTTGTCCTTCTGTGATAACTTACTTCACTCGGCATAATGTTCTCAAGTTCATCCATGTTACGTGGTGTTTTGCAGACTCTGCATTATTCTTTAGTGCTGCATAGCATTCCATTGTGTGTGTGTACCATAGTTTGGTCATCCACTCTTCCATTGATGGGCACGTAGGTTGTTTCCATCTTTTTGCTATTGTAAATAGTGCTGCAGTGAACATGGGTGTGCATATATCTGTTCCTGTCCTGGTCCTCGCCTCTCTAGGATATATACCTAGTAATGGGATTGCTGGGTCAAATGGTATCTCCAATTCCAGCTTTCTAAGGAATCACCATACTGCTTTCCACAGTGGTTGTATCACTTCACAGTCCCACCAGCAGTGTATGAGACTCCCAATCTCTCCACATCCCTGCCAGCATTTGTTATTTTCTGTCTCATTGAACCTTGCCATCAGTGCTGGGGTGAGATGGTATCTTGTTTCGATTTGCATCTCTGTGATGGCCAATGATCGTGAGTATCTCTTCATGTATTTGGTGGCCACCTGCATATCCTCCTTGGTGAAGTGTCTATTCATGTCTTCTGCCCATTTCTTAATTGGATTGTTAATTCCTTTGCTGTTGAGTCATTGGAGTTTTCTATAAATCTTAGAAGTTAAGTCCCTTGCCAGATACGTAATTATCGATAAGTATGAATTTGTTGCTGTCATTTTTGTTATGTGCTTTTTCATGGTGTTGAATTATTTGTTCCATATGATTTTCTGTGCTGAGTTTGTTTTGTTTATGAATTGTGATATCACTTCTTCATTGCTATTGTTTTAGTATTTGCTAAATATTTGTGCTGGTCCTCTTTTTTATTTTGATGTGAAGGTGTATCATTTTTCTTTGAGGTTACCCTGTGATTTACAGTTTTCTTCCCAACTTGAGAACAGTCTGTTCTATCTTGTAGTTGTCTTGACTTCCCTACCATTTAGAAGTTCTATAACTACACAATTTTTTCCCTCTTTTTGGTTTGTAGTTGTCCTCATTGGTCAATTGATGTCTCTGGTTCCCTGTTTACAATCTTGTAGACTTACTTACTTTGGATACTTCCATAGCTGGGTTGGTTTCTGGGTTATATCATCATGTGTGTTGATGGTCAGTTGTCATTTGCTGTTGTTTCTTCTCTGTCCAAAGGACTCCCTTTAGCATCTCTTGTAAGGTTGGTCTGGGTTTAACAAATTCCCTTAATTTCTGCTTATCTGGAAATATCCTGATTTCACCATCATATTTGAGGGACAGTTTTGCTGGCTACATAATTCTTGGAAATTTTTTTCTTTCAGGGTTTTGTATATATAATCCCATTATCTTCTCACCTGCGTGTTTTTTGCTGAGAAATTTGAGCTTAGTCTTATTGGTTGCCCCTTGTAGGTAACTTTTCATTTTTCCCATGCTGCTCTCATGATTCTTTCTTTGTCTTTGGTTTTGGTGAGTTTGATGATGATATATCTTGGTGATTTTCTTTTGGGGTTTATCCTGTTTGGGGTTCTTTGGACTTCTTGAATGGTATATATTCTCATCTTTCATCATGTCAGGAAAATTCTCTTCCAACAAATCTTTGGCAATTTTTTCTGTGGTTTTATTTGTCGCTTCCTGTTCTGGAATTCCAATTACATGTAGATTATTCCTTTTGATGATATCCCACATGAACCTTAAGCTTTCTTCATTTTGTTTTGATCTTTTTTCTGATCGATTGGTTTCCAAAGAAGTATTGAGAAATTTTCCTTCAATCTCACTAATTCTGCCTTCTATTGATTCAGTTCTACTCCTTTGCCCATTCAATGTCTTATCTATTTCTGAAAATTTAGTATTAATCTTACGGATTTCTGTGTGTAGATTTTGTATCATTTCTAATTTTTCATTTATTTTGTCATTTTGTTCCTGTATTGTCTTTTGAAATTGTTGAAGGGTTTTCTCCATGTTTTCCTCAATTTTGTCAGTATTTTCCTTGATTTATCTCTCAGTTTGTTGATGATACCTAAATACAATTCTTTTGAATTCCTTATTAGGGAGTTACAATTCTGTGTCTTCCTCAGGGATATTTTGGGTCTGTATCCTGGTCCCTTGTTTCTCCTGCTTTATCTTGCTTCTTTGTGTGCACTGTGATGCTCCATTGTCTCCGAGGCATTGTGACATTTTTGTGTTTATATTGGTTATTGTATGTTGGTGTAACTTGCCCACGATTTTCATTTTCTTTGTTTTGTTTGTATGTTATCTATGTAAGCAGGGTACTGTGCTGTGCTCCTCTATTCACTAGTTGGCAGCACTTATAAACTCACCACTTGCCTCCTTTCCTGTTGTCAGCCTCCCATATGCCCCTGCCGTCCTTGTTAAACAGAGCCTATTCTTAGGTCCCTGGAATCTGAATGAGAGTGCTGTCATTTTAAAATCCAAAATGGCCACCACTTGTAAAGATTCATAATGGCTGCACTCTCGGTTACTTAAATATCCAAGAAGGCTGCTGCTTATAAACATTCAAAATGGCTGTGCTCCTGGTCACTTTAAATATCAAAATGGCCACCGATTGTAAACTTTCAAAATGGCTGTGCCCTCAGTCACTTTAAATATCCAAAATTGCCACGACTTGCAAACAATCAAAATGGCTGCACCCTTTGGACAGCAGAAAGTGCACAGCTCAGTTTGTCCCTGACCTTGCTGTTTCCCTTCCTAGTCATAGGCCACCAGCACAGTTGTCCCTGCAGCCCTTGGCAACCACGGCTGATCTTTAGGTCAATTCTCAGGTCCCAACACCACTTGGAAATATTCAGGCTGTCGGTCCTATCAGAATAGCTGATAGTCCACTGCTCCGACCATCTCCATATTCACTGTTTTCATTCAGGTTTTTCCACTAGTTGGTGCCTAATCCACTTCTGTAAGTTCCTTTCAAAGCTTGGTCTGGGATTATCTTCTGTATGTCTGTCAATTGATTTCTCTTTTTTTTGTTGAAGTGGGTCTGTGTAGCTTGTCTGCCTATTCCTCCATCTTACTGGAAGTCCTGCCTCTCCAATGTCTTGCATGCTGGATACTTAGCCCCATTGGGTTTCCGGTGGTGGTTTGGAACAGCTAAGGGAGACCTAAGGCACTTGACTGCTAATCAGGAGGCTGGCGGTTCAAACCCCCAGCCACTCCTCAGAAGAAAGGTTGGGCAATCTACTTCTGTAGTGATACTGCCTCAGAAACTCAAGGAGGTCCCGCTATGAGTCGGGTCCAACTCTTGGCACATAACAACAACAACGACAAGGGAGACTAGGAAGCAAGCTGGTGGTGGTTTGGAACAGCTAAGGGAGACGAACTTGTCTGTTAGTTTGTCGTTTTGTCGTACTGTGCTGGCTTGTGTGTTGCTGTGAGGCTGAAGGCTACACCACTGGTGTTTCAAATGCCAGCTGGACAGGTTTCAGCAGAGCTTCCAGACTAAGACAGACTTGGAAAAAGGAAGAGGCCATCCACTTCTCAAAGCACTGGCCAGTGAAAACTTTATGAATAGC